TGCCACACAAAGATAATCTCAACAAGCACCGTGTCAACATCATACAACGACATCAGAGATGCCATAGATTGCTGAGTTGGTCGCTGCTGGCTTCGTGGAGTACCCACGAAACTGTAGACCCCAGACCCAAGCCGTGCGCGCAAACAAACTTTGGGGCTCCAGTTACCTATACATAGCAGTCTACTACCCATATATATATATATATATATATATATATATCTATCATCTCTATACACCCCAGTAGCCCACCCTAGACCCTAAACTTCTAAACCCCTAAATCCTTAACCCGTGACCCTCGGGAGAAATGAAAAGGCATCCGGCCAAGCGGCTGCCTTGCGAGGAGGCGTCACCCCACAGGCGGCTGGGGATCGGCAGAACGAGGATTCAGGGTCTATTGGGTATAAATGCAGAAGCTGTTTCGGGTTGACAGGTTTAGGGGTTAGGGCAGCCACAAACGTAGGAACAGGCTTAACCCGTTGCTTCCAGGACCTTATTGGGTCCTTAAGGGGTCTCGGGCCCTAACTACCCAAAGGGCCCAAAGTACCTATATAGTAGAATGTATGGTTTCGATATTCGGAACTATGATAATGAGTTGGAGAAGTACTTCCCATAACAGTACCTAGGACGCTTTGGGCTAGAAGGTCCTTGAAAGAACAGCGCAAAGATTGCCATGAGCATAAACATATTGCTTGACGGTTCATCACAACGGTGATTTCATAATTGAAACATCCATTGCGGTTGGTGCTGCAGCCGTAGGAGGTGTCACCATAATCGTACCCAGGCTGCATTCTCAGTATTGCTAGTAGTCTTGGCATTGCTTCGCATCAATAGGCATAGTATATACTGCTAGAGAGCATCGTGATAACATCCTCGTCACTAGGCTGTGTTGTTTTGACAATTAGAACAGTCGGTCGCTGCTGCATACAAGCTACCTGCAGTCTCCATTGTAGCTCCTTTTTGGGTGGTTAACCATTTAATATAGAACTGGTTAACCAAATAAGGAACCGCAATGGGGACTATAGGTACTACTGTTAATGAGATAAAAGTTCTGCATTACTTATAATAAGGAGTATACCCTACACCCTAAACCCCTAAATCGGGGGAGGCAAGTTCGAGGCTTGCAGGTTTGCGCCAGTCTCTCAGAGCTCGGAGGACTTTGGCGGTGCGTCAGAGCATAGGAAACCACAGCAGAAAGCCCTGAATACCTGGACGAAAGGATGCAGGCATGGCGATAGACGAAAATGTCCCCTTACAGTCCCCACCCGGTATCCTGAACCCGAAGATTCGGAATAATTCGTGAGAGAATCCCCTTGCAGCGCTTATGTGATACATACCCTAAACCCCGACTTTAAGCGTGGAGGCGCCTAAACCCTAAGCCCTAAATCGCAAACCCTAACCCCCAAACCCTAAACCCTGCAGGCCTGTGCAGCCAAGGCGGCAGTCGCCGCTGCTAAAGCCGGCAGGGTAGCTGGCCTGGCTGAGGCCCGTGATTTAGGGGACAAAAAGGCACATAAGCATAAGCATTATATGGGGATATCCCTACCTTATTGGGCTTCCTTAGAAGGGGGGTTTATATGGGATATCCCTATCCTAATTGTTGCTTATGTGCTTTTTTGCGGCTCTAGTGATCGTTTCAGAGGCCCTTCTAGAACCCCTCAAGTGCCCTTGGATAGAGCCCTTATGGTCTGTAAGAGTGGGCCATCTAGGGTAATATAGAGTTTGGGGGTCTAGCTTGGCTTTAGGGGTTACCGTTTGACGATGAGGTTGTAGTTGAACGTGTGCGTGTGTGTGAGAGAGAGAGTTTGTGTCTGTGTGTGTCTGTGTGTGTGTTGTTCCTCTGTATAGTTTGCTGGTGTTTTTTCGTTGATGCTCTATATAAGTCTGTATAGTCATGTTCAAGTTCAGGGTGTCTTGAAAGAAATGAATGTTCACACTAGGTTCATTTGTTCGTTTGTAATTGTACGGTTATTGTCGCATGATCACAAGCGCTTCATGACTTTATGATCAGATTGGTGTTCCAATTTGTTGGGCGGAGGGTCTTAGCATGTATGTGTGGATGATGTTTATGCAGCTGGAAACTCTGCTTGCAACCGCTGGTCCTACCCCTCACCTACCCCCCCCCCCCAACTACCCATCGTTAGGGGCCACAAGGACTCCATTAAAGGGCTCTTGGTGGGTCTTAACCCAAATCTTAACGTTTCACAAGGTCACGTCCAAAATCTCTGCACCCTGGAGCTTACAAGCCCCGTTTTCTCTATTATTGCTGTTATGATTAGTAGTATTAGCATTATTAGTAATTACTAGACGTTTAATATAATTGTTATTCTTATGGCTATTGTTGTTTTTGTTGGTCTACACTAAAGCTCTGATTTACAGGAGGGTATGGCCGAAGTGGCCGTGACAGCCGCCGCAAACGCTGCCGTGGAATTCCTGCGCGCAGAAGCTGGTCTGCAACTGTCGAGTTCACTGGTTCAGGGTTTTTGGGGGTTTTACATACCCGGCTTAGGCTTACTTCAGTCGCCGGTTATTTATGTGCACACATAAGGGAATCTTAAGAGTTGACATGGGCTTTGCCACGTCTTTTGGAGGGAGCGATTGTTTTCTGGACATTGCACACTTCGGTAGGGTTCTACAAGGCTTGATGCTGCCGGCTGACTGGTTTAGGGGCACAGCAGGATTCAAGGTTCCGGGGTCTAAAATTTATCGCATTTAATTCTCTACTGCAAGCACCCACACATGTCAGGCTTGTGAGGCCAAAGACCGTCGGCGACAAGGCTTTTCCCTTGTTCTGATGCATAGCTTTGTGGCTTTAGGCTAGGATCCTGGGTTCGCCGTGAAGGGGTCTTGGGCCGAGGGGTGTAGACCCTAAGGGTCCAAAGGACCCAAAGGACCCAATAATCAGGTACTTGAGTTTAGGATAGTAGTTATGTAGGTTACTATTTTGGGGAGTATATGATAATGAGGTACTTGGACCCTTAGGGAGACCGACTGTCAGCAACTCAGAGGTTTGGTGATTCTCTGGGATCCCTCGGATTCTGGAGCGATTCTGGATTATTTGGGGTGTTCTAGGGAAGGTTGCCGTGATTCTGGACATTGGGAAGCATGGACCTAAAACCTGGGACGAAGAGTCAGATGTTGGGGCTGCCGGGGATTAGGCCTGTAATGTTTGTTGTCAACGCAACCGGACGCCTCCAACACAGAAATGTCACAGCCCCAAGCCCCAACGGATTAGAAATTGCGAGCGGCATTGGTTGCGAGTTTACTCTAGGCACTAGCTTTTGGGTTCAGGGTTTAGGCAACATTCACGTTGATAATACCCGACTTCCAGGCAACCTACCTAAAAGTCCAGAACACTCTGTCACGACCTCCAAAGCCCTAAAATCCGAAAGCCTAAATCCCTAAACCCTCAAGCCTCAATCTCAAAGCAGCTCCATCTGAGGAGGGCAATTCCAAGAATGCACCCAGTGAGGTGGGAACTTGCTACAGCTTGTTTCTGCAATGCGCTCTCCCGAACGAGTATCACCACCATGTTGCTTGTGCCGATGACGATGGCAATGATGATGAGGACACAGTGTACTTTAGCGATGTTTTTCATACCTTACCTTCGCAATGCCGTTATCCTGGACGACTGCCTTAACTTAACCTACGAAACCCTACTTCTTTTGTAGGGTCCCTATAAATCCCATATTAGGGCTTTATATTAAGAGCCCACCAAAAAGGGTAGGGTTTTGTAGGTTAAGGTGGGGCTTCTAGTCTGAGATGCTTGGCTTGAAAGGGCATCGGAGTTGGAGATCGTGTGGCCGTCGATCGAAGTACTGTGACTACTATAGGGGCCTTTGTAATTAGCCATGCTATTTTTTGGGGGGGTTCCTTATCTTATAAGGATGATTTACTGGACCCCAAAACCCTATTGTAATCATTAAGGCCCCTACAGTAGGCCGGTCTTGCGCAGACATGAGTACACGAAGGCACGAGAGATAGCGCTTTAAAGGAACGACGAAGGTACTGTAGTTGTCGCAGCTAGCACCGTCTAGGATGCAAGGTTTAGGACTCAGGGGTACTAAACCCAAAACCCTAAACCCTAAACCCTAAACTTGTGGTCTATTTATCTAAGGTCCAGCATGTTTCAGGACTTGGGTTGAGGATGCTCATGGGCTTCAGGTGTTTACCCAGAGGCTCCATAGTAGTTCCTTTTTGGGATTACCTTATAGGATTCTATATATGAACCCCAAAAAGGAACTACTTTGGAGCCTTAGGGTAGGATGATTTTTTCGGATTTCGGGTTATGATCGGGCTGCGGGTTCCAGCTAAGCAGCTATATGCGCCAGTACAGCCATCTTCGGGCCTATACCGGCACCGCATGTACGCATTGCTGCAAGAAACTAGCACATTCCCGTTGCGTATGAGAGTGTCAGCCAATATGGGAGTTGAATATGATGAAATACTCTTTCCGGAGCGCTTGCTTTCTGAAAGAATACCATATAGACACCCGGAAATGCGGCACCACCTCGAGACCTCAGCCTATGGCCTAAATCGCAAACCCTATTGCTGACGGGCAGAATCCTGCATGACCGTAAGTACGCCAAAGGATGTCACGCGGAGTATTCCCAATTTTGGTGTTGTGCATGTTCGAGGTTTGTGTCCATCAGCAATATCTCTCCTCGAAATCTACACCCTAAACCCCTAAACATTACAACCTAAGCCTCAAAGCAGCTAAACTTCTCCACCCAAAGCACTCGAAATCTATACCCTAAACCCTTCAAGATTGCAACCTATAAGCCTCAAAACAGCTAGACTGCCCACCATGAAACCACTCGCACTTTACCCCCAAAACGCTGCACCTCTTGGACAGGCTGGAATGGCAGCGCAGCGGGCGGCCTTGGTGCAGGCTACCTATAGTCCTTATAAGGACCCTAAACTATGGGAAATATGGTATATTCCTTTACTATAGGTAATGCACATTTTCTATCATCAACAGTAGTACCTGTAGGCTCCATTGTAGTTCCTTTTTTTGGTAAACCAATTCTATATTAGAGGGTCTTAACCATAGAATTGGTTAACCAAAAACAGGAATTACAATGGAGACTACAGGTACAGTCGGCTTAGTCAGATTGAAATTTAGGGCTCCTGTTTTGCATACGGGGAATTGCTGTTATTGTGCTTCAGGAGGGTATTCCCCCATATATATATATATATATATATATACCCATATGTATATATATATATATATATATATTTACATATCTCTCTCTCTCTCTCTCTCTCTCTCTGTAATCCCTCCCTGTTGCAGGGCTTGGTGCCCGATCGGGCCGGAGAGCTGGCTGCGGAGGCAAAGCCGTGGGAGGGCGGTGTCAGGGTTTCGGGGTTTAGGGTTTATAGTTGTTTCGGGGTTCAGGGTTTAGGGGTTTAGGGCTTATTGGGGTTTCGGGGTTAAGGGTTTAGGGGTCGGCATGTTCTAGTTTTGATACAGTGAACGTATCGCTTATGAGCATCAGGGCTTAGGGGACTTCGGAGTATTAGGGATTTGCAATTCGGATTTGATGGATTGTTGGCGGCGGTTTTGGGATATGTGGGATTCAGGTGTTTTGGAGTATTGCTTGCTTCGGAGTGTTTGAGAAGCTGAAGGAACCTAGCAAGGGAAGGTCCAGAGATACGAAATCCAGAAAGGTGTTGGTAACGCGTTTATCCATCGATTCGCCCCTGAGTAGCTGTCAACTCTGTCCTTGATGCATTTTTTGGGTGTGTTAAGGGTAGCCGTTAAAGGGTTCTTAAAGATTGCTATAAGGATCATTCTTAGATTTTCCCAGTTAACTCATGAATATCTCTGTGCGCATTTTGCGTCGATCCGGCCGATAAATCCATCAGTCACTCACTCAGTCAGTCAGACATGCAGACAACCGGTCAACCAACCAATCAACCAATCCATAAGACTTTCATTAGCGCATGTATACAGTCATTCGTGCATTCAATAGGTCATCAATTAAGTATTTCATTAATGCGCTAATTAATTCATTCATTAATGCCTTCATTCCTTCGTTCGTTCATATATTCGTTGATTCGTTCATTCTCTCGTTCATCCCTTCGTTCATTGATGTCAGTTCATTTCGTTACCTTGCAGCCATTCAGTCATTCCTTCCTTTATTCATTCCTTCATTATTGATGAGGCTCCCATGCATCGCACAGTTCGGTCTGTGACCACGGAATCCTCAGGACATACATGGTACAAAGAAGGGTGTTTCAAGCTAGCAGTGACTACCTATAGTCTCCGTTGTAGTTCCTTTTGTTGTTAACCATTTCTATACTAGAGGATCTTATCCATAAACTTGGTTAACCAACAAAGGAACTACAATAGATAGAAACCCAAACCTGAAGCCTGAAAGTTTGAAACCCTAAACCCTAAATCCCGAACCCGAAGCCCCAAAGCCTACAACCCCTAGAACCCTAAACCCCAAACTCTAAACCCTAAGCTAAACCCCTAAACCCTAAACCGGGCCCTAAACCCCTAAACCCTAAACCCCTAAAGCCTAAACCCCAAACTCTAAACCCTAAGCTACCCATGGGCCCCAAAGTAGTTCCTTTTTGGCATTGCCTTATAGGATTCTATATACGAACCCCCAAAAGGAACGACTATGGGGCCTTAGGGTAGATATACTGGGCTATATAATGGTTATATACTAGCTATATTAAGGGTACATACCTAGGGGTCCTTATTAAGGGTCCCTCCTTTTACCCTTGGATAAACCTCAAACTCTAAACCCTCAGCTAAACCCGAGGCCGCAGGCCGAATCGCCGCTGATCTGGCGCTGGAGAGCTCCGCCACACCGGAGCAGGCGCGAAACGTCAGGGTCCAGGGCTTTTAAGGGTTTTTGGGGGTCTATATAAGTTCAGGGTCGAGGGCTTTTGAGGGTTTTGACGGTTTAAGTTTGGGGTTTTTAAGGGTTTTGGGGGTCTAAGTCTAGGGGGTCAGATTTTATAATTAGGATTTTGGGATTTCGGATTGCAGGTATGCGGGCGATAATAAGGATATCGGGCTTCGTGTAACATGTGCGAAAGTTGGAGTTCCTGCTGGTAGAGAAGATGACTGCATCGCTGGATGAGCAGGCGTCATTGGGGCCGGAGGAGCCCAGATCTTAGTGTCATCGCAAGGACGAGTCTGGCCTTGTATCGGGGGATAACAGAGCAAGCATTCATGACGGCACTGTGCCCGTCTGCCGGGCTCTTCGTTGGAACGTAGCCAAAGGCCAAAGCATCCGAGGCTGTCTCATCGCACGTCAAACAAGTGAAAGAGCGCAAGAAATGAAAAACACGTGGCTTTCGATGAGTCCATGTTCAATGTGATGTCGCGCATCTTTGAGCTGGGAATAGTAGTGCCAGGGTGTAGAATGGAAGTGCTCAACAATGCTTGGGTTTTGGCACTTGCTCGCTTGTAGCTGTCGATCAGTTTTGAGGGGGTGTGATGACTAGCCATGCAATTCTTTCCCGAAGGGTCCATGTACCCAAATAGGTATACATACTGTGTCCTTAAAGTAGTTCCTATATAGGTACTTTTGGGCCAAAGTATTTACTATTTGGGCACATGGACCCTTAGGGCAAGGCAGTTCCCCCCCAAACTGAAGCACATCACCCGAGCAGTGCCAGAGCCCGAGCCAGTCCTCCTCCTTTTCTGTGAACCATGTATTCAGCTACAATGCAGGGGCCAAGTAGAGTATTCCTGGGGATCCAGAAACCTACCGTTTCAAGGGTTCTAGGACCTGATGAAAGGGTCATAACCTACTATTTTGTAGGGTTTAGGGAGACAAAACCTAAACCCTAGTCCCTAAACCCTAAACCGTAGGTTGTCGGAACATGTCCCTTGGGTTCAGAACTTGAGAGAAGGAGTCGCCCACACACTAAGCCCTGGACCCTACAGTAAAAGCCAGAAAGTTGGAATATGATTATCCTAACCCTTTATGGTAAATTATAGGGTATCCTACCCTGAAACCATATTCCAACTTTCTGGAGTTCCCTTTAAGCCCTGCTATCCTGAGTCATATTCTTCTCCCTGTTTAAACCCCCAGCCCAAATCCTGCTCATACATCTGTAACACCAAATCCGAAATAACCCTAAACCCTAAACAATCCATAAATTCTTGGAGTCGCTGCGAGGGACTTCGGGAAAAAGGGGCTCAACAAACAAAAAACAACACAATCCATACATTCTTGACACATCGATACCCTAAGGCTCCAAAGTAGTTCCTTTTTGGGGTTCATATATAGAATCCTATAAGGTAATCCCAAAAAGAAACTACTATGGAGCCTCTGGGTAGTGACGAATTTCAGGCCGCGCAGGCCTCAGGCGAGGCGGCTGCAGCAGCAAGGGGCCCAACACTTCGATTCGGTCCGGTGGGGGTTCTACGGTTGATGATGTAAAATCCTGCATTGGTACCCATAACAAGGAAGATATGGGAATTATGGTATATTCATTATTATGGGTCATGCAGGATTTATGATATAACTCCTGCATTAGCCACAATAAGGAACATACTGTAATTCCCATAGGTAATGCAGGATTTATATCATCAACCGTATCAATTGGGCTCAGGGTCAAAGTTTTCAGGTTTCATAGGAGTTCAACAAGGGATCTTTGAAGCATTTCCATACCGGGTCTGCAAGGCTCTTAGAAGGGCCTTACTAAGGGTTCTGTAGCCGTTTCAGGCTTTGCGGTGGGCTCAGGCTCTTCGTGTTGCGTTTCCCAACGCTCGGAGTTGAAGCTTCAAGGGTTGCGGTGTATTGGCGTCTACTTGTGGCTCCGAAGTCTTTGTGAAGTCTGGAGAGCTCGCATCCCGTATTCCCAAACCCTGAACTCAGCCCTCAACTTGAACCCCCCAAACCCATCAAGCACCCCAAATCGTGCTTAAATTTCTGGGGGCTCACATTTCAGGTCTTATGGGCGCGCAGAGCACACTACATTAGACTTCCTATGTTGACTATGAGCTCGCCCTAAAGCCTAAACCCTCAACAGAATTGCAAAAGCATGGGCTAAAGATTCCTCAACAAGCCCCGGTAAGACGTAAACTGCTGCATGCCCTCCCAAAAAGGGTGTAAACGCTTTTTGGAACTCCAAGGAACACACTCTAGGCCCGAAGCCTTAAACCTGTCAGAGACCCTTAAGCCCTAGAAATTCTAAAACCCTAGAATCCAAAGCCCCAACCCCCAAACCTGAAGGGCCCTAGACTCCCAAAAGGTGATGCAGGATTCATACCATCCTGGAGCCCCTAAACCCTAAACCCTAAACCCCAAACCCCAAACCCTAAACCCTAAACCCTAAACCCTAAACCCTAAACCCTAAACCCTAAACCCCAAACCCTAAACCCTAAACCCTAAACCCTAAACCCTAAACCCTAAACCCTAAACCCCTAATCTGAGCAGCCCCAGCCTCCCCCATAGTAGGGTTTAGGGTTTAGGGTTTAGGGTTTAGGGTTTAGGCTTTAGGGTTTGGGGGTTTAGGGTTTAGGGTTTAGGGTTTAGGGTTTAGGGTTTTAGGGTTTAGGGTTTAGGGTTTAGGGTTTAGGGTTTAGGGTTGGAACATCATCATCCTCATGCCCTCGACATAAGGTATAAGGGATCCTAGCACTAATCCTCCTGCAGCCATGTTCCAACTTTCTGGCTTCTACCTACAGTCTCCATTGTAGTTCCTTTTTTGGTTTAACCAATTATATATTAAGGATCCTATAAGGTAACCCAAAAAAGGAACTACAATGGAGACTATAGCTACTATATAGCAAGTCGCCGAAGCCTCCCAACCAAGGCAGGCTCTGCTGCGCTGCTGGCAGCCCCGCGCTTCTCGGAGTGTTCTCGACCTCGGGTTTGAGGGTTCAGGGTTGTTTTAGGGCTTAGGGTTTATGGCTTAGGCTAGGGTTTTAGGTCTTGGGGTTTGAGGGTTTAGGGCTTTAGGGCTTAGGGTTTGGGGTTTTAGCGCTGAGGGTTTAGGGTTTAGGGCTTAGGGGGTTTAGGGTCTAACTAGGGCTGAGAGTTTTAAGGTGTATTCGCGAGGGGGCTTTCCGGATCTGCCGAACGTCGCTAAAATTGCTTTGTGAACACACTCTGGGCGTCACCTCGACAAAGAGTCTTTGCTTGTCGAAGGCGTCGCCAACTACAATGTTCATGACAGAAGAACTGCCTCTCTTGATTCTCTCCACATGCTACTCACTCAACCCTAAACCGTAAGCCGTAAACCCTAAACCCTAAGCGAAGCGAATTCCAGATTTTTAAGAGTTTAGGCGGATGGAAACAGGTGCCAAAAAAAACCTAATCACATGCACCAAGACACACAGCCATCTGCCGCATACGGGCGACTCCAAGTCAGAAGGCCGTGACATCCACTGTTCAACGGACCTACTGGGAAAGAGTGTCCGATCGGTGGAATGCTATCAACGGCAACAATCTTATTGATGCTAGATTGCACATTACCACGAAAGGATACTACAGTACCTTCTCCAATGTTGATTTGTGTGTGGAGCACAAAGCTGTCCGTCCGCATCAGCAGGGCCGACGATGGTCTTTACATGAAACGCTTGGTGTCGTGCAAGCCGTTGAAGGCATGCCCTGAGCCGACTTTTCTCCTTGACGAGCCGGATGAGCCGAGAACAAACCGCGTGGCCACAAACCGCCGCCATGGGTTCCGGCCGCGTGAGCTTGGAGCTTGGAACCGGGAGTAGGACCCAGAGTAAGCCCTTATTCCCTTTTTTTAGGGTTCAGGTTCCTTATAATCCCCTTCAAACCAAAAAGGGCTGGTGTAGGTCTTTGAGTTTGTGGATTGCAGCTTCTTCGAGGCCTCTAGGCGTCCAAACTACCAAACGGTAGAAGTATCGAAACCTATATCGAGTATAGTACATCAGACTGACGTTCGGGTATCTTCGAACCCTCCAGCTCGTAATGTATGTTGCGTGATTCCCGATGCCGACGAGTAGAGGCTTCAAGAGGGTGCTACGGAATTCTACAGGTTCTACAGGATCTGATGTAGCGTTTTTCTTTTACAAAGGGGCTTTTGAGTTTAGAAGGTCGCGCCCTGTTACTCTCTCTGTCTCTCTCGCTCGCTCGCTGTGTTTGCATCTTTCGTTTTGTCTGTGAGTAATATAGATGCCGCGTGCTGTTCCGTTCCTTATATAACTTACAAACAATGACGCCGCGAGGTTAGACCGCCTAGTACAGAAAAAAGGTCGTCCAGATTATTGAGACTGAAGCTGCTTTTTCACACCGCCAGCCTGCAGACACCAAGCTTGCCTGCTTACTAACACATTGAGGACAGCGGAAAAAGCACAGGGCTTAGAGCTTTTGGGTCGAAGAGGTGTCCTTCCGTAGGGTATCGTTGAGGCACAGTATACGTAAGAGACTTAGCCTAAGTGTATCATAGGGTTTCATATTGTAGGACTTTCCACCTGCTAGAAATAGGGATTTGGGTGGGTTCCGGGTTTTAAAACCCTAAACCCTAAACCCCTAAACCCCTAAACCCCTAAACCCCGAACCCCTAAACCCTAAATCCTACACCCTAAATTAACGTTTTGTAAGCGCTTTCTTTCAAAAGCGGCTTACAACATTGAGGCTGTGGAGCGAAGTCTGCCGAGGCGGCTCTGCGTGCAGCCCGGGGGCCCAGCTGGGTTCCTTTTAAAGGGGCTTAAGGGATCTCTAAGGGTACTATGATATAGGGGCCTAAATAATTCGCAATACTATTATTGGGGCTTGGATCTGTTTTGTGTTATTCCCCAAAGGGTCCAAGTACTAGTATATATATATATATATGTGTATACTTTGGGCGCCCAAATAAATACCTACTAAGTACCTTGTATGATGGGGTTCGTACGGGATTTTAGTTGCCATGACATGATGAGGAAAGCAACTCATTTATGATAGAGCAACCCGGTTTTCAATTTCTTGAGCGTCTACAGGTCCGCAGAAAGAAATTATGCGGCTTAGGCCTGAAATGCCCTTGTTTTGTACCCGTAAACGTTAATTAGAGAGTTTGTAAGGACTCGGGAATGAAAACCCTAAACCCTAAACCGTGGAATGAACCAGGGCTTGCCTTATGAGCATTAATGCTTGACGACGTCTTGGCTCGCTCGACGACCTTCATGGCTTAGGTTCTTGTTGCATTTGTGCTTCGGGTTTGGGGTTTAGGGGTTCAGGGTTTAGGGTTCAGGGTTTAGCAGCAGCAGCAGCAGAAGCAGCACGGGGAGGAGGAGGAGGAATAAGAATAGTGGTCAAACACTTGTAGGACCCTTCATATAAAACTAGTTAAACCGAAAGAAGGCGCTACAATGGATACTATCGGTGGATATCTTTCTCACCTGAACCTTTGGCGACCATCTTCATAGCATCGAAGGGGTTGAAATTGCTGGTTTCTGGGTTCCGGTTAGTATAGAATCCCAAATAATTACCCATATTATTCCTTCGGGTTTTATTTTAACTATGCTATGAAGGAGCCCCAAACCCTATTCTAATTAGTCAGGCCCCTGCATTCGGGGGTTGCGGCAGGCTATCGTCGCAAGAGCCAAGCGGTTCCCCAACGCGCCCACAAAGCGCGCAGAAGCACCAGCATGGCCCCGCCCTGAGGCAGGTACACCTAAACCCTAAACCCTAAACCCTAAGCCCTAAACCCTAAACCCTAAACCCTAAGGGTTTAGGGTTTAGGGTTTCGGGATGACTGTGCAAGTCCGCGTCACGGTTTACCAGCAATACCAGGGAGCCAAGTGGGTGGTTGTCAAAATTAGGGTCCCTTTCTGGGTCCTTATCATAATACGGCACCTACCTAGAGTCTCCATTGTAGTTCCTTTTTTTGGTTAACCAGTTTTATGGTTAGGATCCTATAACAGAGATTTTGGTCAACCAAAAAAAGGAACTACAATGGAGACTATAGGTAATATTTAGGGTACCCAAAAAGGGACCCTAATTTTGACAACCTCCCAAGTGTGTTCAACACTCAGGAGAGGTCCAGATCTGGACTCGCCTGCAGCGTTTGACATGGCCCACGACCCCAAAGGCTCCATGTACCGTTATAGTAGATACTTAAGCCCCAAAGTAGTCCCTATGTAGGTACTTTAAGGCCTAAGTAAAAACTATATGGGCACATGGAGCCTTAGGGAACGAGCTTGACCTGACGGTTTTGAGATGCTTCGCAATCACGACGACCTCACTTGGATGGGCTTTCGTGACATGATCGTGTGTGTGTCGTCGTGACCTGAGCCCTTTAATTTCAGATTCGAAATAATTTCAAGACCTTAAACCCTAAGCCCTCTGAACCCCAAGCCCCAAACCCTAAGCACCAAGCGAGCCCTCTAAATTCTGGGCTTCCACCGCAACTGAGAGCCTTTGAGTCAAAGGCAGCCAGGGCAGCCACGGCAGGCGGAAAGAGTCCCGAGGTTCGGATATAGCGATTAATCGAGGTGTGTCTAGTTTGGGTTTAGTTCAGGGTTTTGGGGATATCACTGCTTAGAGGAGTGTTTACTGTAGAATTTAGGGTTTTTGGGATATTACGGTTTAGAGGAGTGTTTGCTGCGGGGTTCAGGGTTTTAGAGATGTTGCGGCTTAGGGGAGTCTTTTACTCAAGGGTTTAGGATTTAGGGTTTTGGGGATATTACGGCTGAGAGGAGTGTTTAGTAAGGTTGTAGAAGCAGTAAGGAGGTGTTTCGTTAGGGTCAGGGTCGGGCAGGATACGAATTCCAGTGCTTTGATTTAAAGGTCCAGGTCTTGCCTTAACCTACCAAAGCCTACTTTTTTGGAGGGTCCCCATAAATGCCATATTCAGGTTTATAGTAAGAACCCACAAAAAAGTAGGGTTTAGTTGGGTCTAGGTGAGCTTAGGGTCAGGGTGTAGGCGGTTCTGTTTTGCGTGGCTTACAGCGCAAGTAAGGTTTACGTCTAGGGGCCTAGCGTGCATGCTTCTTTGCAGGGTAGCATAGCGGCATAGAGGCATAGACATCGATTTCTGCAAGGCTCCCATATCACCCGCTCAAAGGCTTTCTGAGTCAAGGATTTTGGGAGGCTTCTAGCTTGCTACCATACCTTAACCTACCAAACCCTACCTTTTTGTAGGTTCTTATTATAAATCCGAATATGGAATTTATAGGGCCCCTACTTTTTTGTAGGCTTAAGGTAGGCAGTCTCGGGACTACGTGCTTAGAGCTTTGGGATTTGGGGCTTGGCGTGTAGGGCTTGAGGCTGGTAGTCCTTCCTTCCCAGACAACAAACCCTAGACTCATCTCTAAGCTGTGCTAAAGAGGAACTTTCTCCGGAGGCTTCATATGTATATATATATATATATATATACACACACTAGCACTATGGTGTTAGGCCCAAAAAAGACCATCCTTATCATGGTTTTGTGGACCCCGAAGAATTCTGCAGTGTACATTGAGCCTTCAGGTTTATGCTGACAAACGCCTGAAAAGAACCAATAGCAGTCTTAACCCTAAGGCCCCAAAGTAGTTACTTGTTGGGGTTCGTATATAGAACCCTATAAGGTAATGCCAAAAAGGAACTACTTTGGGGCCCATGGGTAGGGTTCCGACAGAAGTAGCCTTTGAACGCACGTGTTTGTCATGGAGCTGTCCATTCCCCTATGAGTCCATGTGCCCAAATAGTGTAAAGCTTTGGCCTTGACAGTAGTCCCTAGACCCTCAACCCTGAACCCTAAGCCTTTCGGGAGTGAGTGCCAGTTAGTGCAGAGCCTTACGAGGCAGGCTTTGGACCTGCATGCAATGTTGAGAAAGAGCTATTGCATTAAAACAACCTTTCGGGCCGAAGTATATAATAATGGTGCGCATGGACTCTCAGGATCTTAAAATCAACGCTATCGAGTACAGGATTTCTGAGAACCTTGGCTAGATTCCTGGGTGCGAGACTTGTACCCCGAGCCTCGCAGGCCTTCATAAGCCCTCAGCCCCGAAACCTGCAACAAACATCGTCCTACCGTAGAAACCTAAACCCTGAACTCTACACCGCCAGGAGGCAGCGTTGGCTGCCGTGACTTTCGCCGTAAAGGCCGCCGAAGTAGCTGGCCTGGAGAAGGCCTGCCGAATTTTTGCTCTGTCATTTTTGTTGGAGGGAAGGGGGGGGGATATTTGCGATTTAGGGTTGTGGTTTACGGTTTAGGGTTTAGGGATAGTTTGTCCAGGTCTTCAGCAGGGATTGTCTAGGGGTTTGGAAGAGTGTTTGTAAGGCTAGGGGTTCCGGGCCATAGTATGTTTGGCCGGGGATCGCAAAGCCAGGAATTCTGCAGGAAGCTGCATGATAAGCGGCTCGCTGTGACTTACCCAACCAATCCTACGTGTCTGCAGTGTGTGAAAGCGTTCATCAGAATCTCAGGCTCACGCTCAGGCAAGAGATGTTGAGTACGGGTTTAGGCTGTAGGTGTTCTTGGAAGACAATGTCTATTATCAAGTGAGAACTCTAGTACGGAGACTCTTTACACGCCGCTTACGGTTGTCTGGCATAGTCAAGCTTGTGAGGATAGCCCACGTCTTAAAGTTACGTCCTAAACTAAACCCTAGACCCCTAAAACGTAGACCCCAAACCCTAAACTCTAAACCCCTAAATCCTAAACCCTCAACCCCTAAACTGCGAACCCTAAACCCCTAAACCCCGAAACTCTAAACCCCAAACTCCAAACCCTAAACCCCAAACCCTTAGCCCTGAACCCTAAATCCTTAAAAGAGGAAAACTGCAACACTCTGCAAAAGCGAGCCTCAGGTCCCGGCATCGGAGGTCGCTGTGGATGTCGCAGCAGACCTGGTCATCGAGGCCCGCGCCGAGTAGCCTCAAGCGCTTAGGGCTTTGGGGTTGATGGCTTTAAGGCTTTAGGGCTTTAGGGTTTTGGGGCTTAGGGTTTGGGGGTTTTAAAGGGCTTGGGGTTTTAGCGGGGGATTTGAGGGTTTAGGGTTCACGGGTTCATAGAAGCTGACGGGGTTAGGGTGTTGTTGTTGTTGTCTGTCTGGTTACCCTACACCCGAAAGAACCAAACCCTAAACCTGTTCAAGGGGTGTTCTTACGGACTCAAGGGAGGTGCTATTGCTTGTTCTCTCAACCGAGCGGGGGCGTTTGCTGAGTTCTTACTTCATGTAAGGGCTTATAGGCTTTAGGTTTTCTTTTTGTCTTAAGGGATGCCTTCGATTTCATGTCTCGGATGTTGCTTCGTGTCTCCGCAAAGCATAATACACTCAGATCCCGAAAGCCCAAGACCGTAAACCCCTACAGCCCGTAAACCCCTAAAACCCGTAAGTCATTGGAGGCCAAAAGAGGGTAGCCTATGGCGGTTTAGTAGGGAGTAGGGTTCCCATAATAGGGTTCATATTCAGGAACCCCTACCCCAGGAATCTTAAACCTCCCCTTTGGCCTCCCATCAGTAAGCCCCCGAACCCCAAAACTGCTTTAATCCCTACGAAGAGTGTTGCTTTGAGCTGCGCCTGTGCGGTTGAAGGTAAGGCGACCGGCTCAGGGTGCACGTGAGTTGGGACCGAAACCCAGGAACACTAAACCCTAAATAACCTTAAACTTAAACCCCCAACCCCCCCCCCCCTCTCACCCCCACCCCCCTGCAAGAATGAATCACTCAACCGGGCCATTCCCCTTATGGAAACCAACTAAGTCCCGAAAGAAAGAACATCAACAAGCCCTAGGAGAGCGCTGTCACAATAGCTTGTAAACCTTAAACCCCTAAAACCCGAAAGCACTAAACCACCACACCCTAAACCCAGCCTCCGGACAAGACGTTGAACCTGCTGTGTTTCGCGACCTCACTGAAAGCAGGTGGACCAGAACAAGAAGTAAAACGGATCAGGCCGCTGTGCATGTTCTCTACGACTACGTGGAGATTCCGAGTGCGGACGCAGCACGGCCACTCGGCTATGCCGTCCTTAACGTTTTCCGTGCTTGGCCGACAGCGGCGCAGCAGACTGCGGATTCATCTGTTCACAGCGATGTGTGCGACGGTGGCAAGCCTCTAGTTTTTTGTGTATGGCGAGGAAGTCACGCCCTGCAACCCGTTATGTCGCCTGACAACCGACCCTAAGGCACCATGTACCCATATAGTATATACTTAGGCCTTAAAGTACCTATATAGGGACTACTTTGGGGCATAAGTATCTACTATAAAGGTACATGGAGCCTTTGGGCGACAACAGGCATCATTGTTTACGTCAGCGCACTCGAGTTCGATGAGTACCTCAGGTCCGCAGACTGCGGGTTCGTGCTCGCAGTCGGGCTCACTGTCATTTTTGAAACCCGTCTTCAGGGTTTAGCTGAAAATAACACAACCCAACTTTGTGTGGGTTTGGCTTTACTACTCTATACAGTAGATCTCAAGATGGACAACATACGGGCTCTGCGAACAAAAACTAGATTTTGGCAGTTCAAACTAGCGCGTCTGATGGATTTTCTCTTGCCTGGTATATAATTAAGAAAGCCTATGAAAGCCCTGAGCCCTAAGTTCTTATGTGGCATCCTATTCTCTCGCCAGGTGGCTCGCTTCATGACAGCCCGCATGACCGATTGCATAAAACCCTAAAGCCGAAACCCTCAACCTCAAACCATGAACCCAAAATCCTCAAGCCTCCGGCAGGCCTCCCTTGTCAAGGGCCGTAGTCCCACCGAAGTGGCGCAGGCAAGCATCGCCGCGCTCTGTTTGTTTGAGTTTCGGACTTTTGGGGTTTGGCATTTCGGAGTTTAGGGCTCTTGATATTTAAGGATTATACGGATTAGGGGTTGAGGGTTGGGGCTTCTTGGGGTTTAGCGTTGAGATGTTAAGGCTTTTTTGGATTTGGGGGTTCTTGGGGTCTTGGGGGGGGGTGGGGGATTGCTGGTACTCTTGTGTGGTGAAGCCTTTGGCGGCTAAACACTTGATTGTTTGCTGTGTGCTGCTCACGCTCAGCCTGGGTTCTGCACTAAAACTACCGGCTCTCTCGTTATCATTGAGCTCACTCTTATGGCTAGTGTTAGACTGATCGGTATCAGTCTCACTTCCACCAGTTCCTTAAGACTGCCGCTGCTGCTAGGTGTTAACCCCCCATGCCACTGCTCCTCCTCATCCTGTTACTACGACTGGAAGCGAGTTCGCGACAACCACAACGACGATGGCGACGACTGCTGCTGTCGTTGCCCCTGCTCTTCCCAAAAGACGGCCATGAGCGTTCACAAGGCCCTTAAGAAAAAGGTGAGCCCTGAGAGGCTTTTCGGGACGAGGGAGAAACTAGACCATAAACCCTAAGCAGCTTCCCTAAGTCGTAAACCCCATGCAAACCTTAGCAATCAGGCCTGTGGCTTTCTTCCTTGGAACTTTTTTGGGGGACCGGAGAAGTCCTTGCTTGTGAGATCTGTATGCGTGCACGGTCTCTTAGGGCGCCATTCCATTCTGGCCCCCGTAGCAGGATGTTGTGGGCACATCCCGGCCCCCAGGCCCAAGCTAATATAGGGACCTTCATGGGTTTTGGGGCCCATCATACGATAGATATAATGAGAAACCCAAATTAATTATTTAGGCCCCTATAGTACCCCATCAAACATTAAAGAAAGGCTATTTGTTTCTAAGGATATTTACCTCTAGCCTGTAGTTCTTGTCGAAACTTCTCAACCTTAGACACCCTCAAACCTAAATCAGCCAGCAAAATCCAAGCCTCTCAGCCCTAAGCGTACCCCTTACCTCCCCCCCCTTTACCCGTCAATTGCGAAAGGATGCCGAATCGGCTGCCAAGAAGGCGGCAGATGCTACAGGCGCATGCTGCCTTTCGAGTGTTTGTGTCCCTATAGGGGCCTTAATAGTTAGAATAGGTTTTGGGGCACAGGGTACTACAATTTTGAAAAGGAACCTCCTCAAAATAGTAGCAGGTAATTATGAAGGCCCCTGCATTATTTTGTTCCAGCTATTGGGCTCTGCGGCTTGCGGGGTTTATCAGGGTGTGAGTGAGTACGTGTTGTAGGGTTGTCAGGTTTGGGGTTTAGGTGTCCAGGTTTTACCCTTAGGCTCCATAGTAGTTCCTTTTTGGGACTAGCTTAGCTTATAGGATTTTAAATATAAGCCCCCAAAAGTAACTACGATGGAGCCTCTAGGTAGAGCTTAGGACTGTCTGTCAACATGACCTCAGTATGCTTCAGAGTCTGCCCTCAGCCCCGAGCCCTAAGCCCAAAAAGCTGAAGAAATGTCTTCAACCTCGTTCCGGGACCCTAAACCCTAGTAGTAGAGTAGGCAACCGTTAACCTTTTTTGGGTAGTATAGTTCCTATATAATCCCTATCTAACCAAAACGGTTTTTCTTCAGTTCCCCATGATACCCCACAAGTAGGAAACCCTAAACCCTAAACCTCCTGAGCGATATCTTGACTGCTCAGGTTCCTAGTGTAAGCTCAATCTGAGCAGTGCCGACTGCCTTTTGGAGTCAACAGTGTGGTGCATGTCCCCTAAACCCTAAACCCTAAACCCTAAACACCCTAAACACCCTAAACCCTAAACCCCTAAACACCCTAAACCCTAAACCCCCTGAGCCTCAAGGCCCTCCTAAGCCCAAAAGCCCTAAGCTAGAAACGATGGTGGTGGAGGGGGTCCCGGAGGTTTCGAGTGAATCCTTGGCACTGGCCTACATGCCCAAGCCCCCCCGCCCCCCAACGATTTACTATAGGGGCACTGGCTCCCGCATGAGTCCTTACAAGGAATATACATAACATATACAGATAGAGAAAGAAAGATAGGTAGGTATAGTCACAACTTTATCCACCTATCTATCTATCTTTATATGTACAGATATTCACATTCATATTTAAGTTGGTTTATGTATATGTATGTTTTGTTTTTTGGGGCTGCGGCAGGCTATGACCTTGGGGCCTCCGAGGTACAATCGCTCTTCCTTCCCACATCACACCTACAACCTTCGAAATCATAAAACCCTCAAAGCATCAAATCTTTCAGCTTCTCCGTTAACCCTACACCCTACCAAAAGTCTCCATCGTAGTTAATTGTAGTTGTCTTTTTGGGTTCAACCAA